GACTCGATTAGCAAAACATGGACTCGATTAGTAAAACATGGACTCGATTAGTAAAACATGGACTCGATTAGTAAAACATGGACTCGATTAGTAAAACATGGACTCGATTAGCTCGATTAGTAAAACATGGACTCGATTAGTTAAAACATGGACTCGATTAGTAAAACATGGACTCGATTAGTAAAACATGGACTCGATTAGTAAAACATGGACTCGATTAGTAAAACATATGTTCCTTGTCTGTTTTTTTTTTGTAAATTGTAATTTTAATACTTTAATGTACAAGAGATCTCATCGATATTTAACGTAAAGTTTCAAGAATCATCGACCATTTAAGTATGTTGGAGATTGTCAATATTTAATATTTAACAGTTTATGGCATACCTGAAGTTGAGTCGATTAGTAAAACATAGTTCCTTGTCTGTTTTTTTTGTAAATTGTAATTTTAATAACATCAACTTTAGTGTACAAGAGATCTCATCGATATTTAACGTAAAGTTTCAAGAATCATCGACCATTTAAGTATGTTGGACATTGTCAATATTTAATATTTAACAGTTTATGGCATACCTGAAGTTAATTAATGCGCAAGGACTCGATTAGTAAAACATGGACTCGATTAGTAAAACATGGACTCGATTAGTAAAACATGGACTCGATTAGTAAAACATGGACTCGATTAGTAAAACGACGCTCTTCCGATTAGTAAAACATGGACTCGATTAGTAAAACATGGACTCGATTAGTAAAACATGGACTCGATTAGTAAAACATGGACTCGATTAGTAAAACATGGACTCGATTAGTAAAACATGGACTCGATTAGTAAAACATGGAGATCGGAAGAGCACAACATAGTTCCTTGTCTGTTTTTTTTGTAAATTGTAATTTTAATAACATCAACTTTAGTGTACAAGAGATCTCATCGATATTTAACGTAAAGTTTCAAGAATCATCGACCATTTAAGTATGTTGGAGATTGTCAATATTTAATATTTAACAGTTTATGGCATACCTGAAGTTAATTAATGCGCAAGTGTCAATCAAAAAGCATGCGGTTTGTACATTGCAAGAACTTTGTGTGATTGTGTTGAGACGGGGCCGGGCGAGAATAAATATATTTTTCATAAAAGCGTTTGAAATCTCTACTTTTAGTGAGTTGTTGTGAATATAGGAGGCAATTCACGACAAAGTAAATGTGGAATAAATACCAAATTATTTCCCGACAGCTAGGTAATGCTATATAGATATAGATGATTTCTTGATTTTTCAGTAAACACCTTTGCTATTTACAGTAACACGTCCACATCGATTTATCCCAGGAGAAACGTAATTTGGACGTGATTATAAATATATACTCGATAAAAAGATTCTCCGACAATCGGCATGTTTCCTGCAATACTAATTTACGAAATTTGGATTGATGGTGTCAGACATTCTGACCACCGGCAACCGTTTGCCAATAGTTAAATATGAGCATTTACATATTTGTTTGCGTGCGAACAACGGCCGATAAATAGATCTGGGATCGGTTGTATAAATTAAACAAATCTATGAACTATTGATTACAAAACTTTTCTTTTCTGTCTAAACATAATAACAATGCATAAAACTACTCATTTAGTTGATAAAAATTAAGTTCAAGTACTTACAATATATGTATATTGAGAAGGAATGTTTTTAATTTTTTGCCTATACACCCTTTAAGCCAAACGCCTTTGATACAACCGACCCCTATTCAATTTCGTGTTAGGTTTGTAAGGTGGGGGGGGGGGAGATGGGGTCATCAGGGAAACGTACATAATTAGGAAGTTCGTGGAATAAATCGATACGCGACACTTTCAAAAATATCTTGCCCCTCAGACTCAAGAGGGGTCTCAAGAAATACGGCAGCTTAAAATATAACACAATGAAAAAATGTTTAAATGTTTCAGGAAAAAATTGGTCTGAATCATTCAGTGGAATTAGCACATCATGCCTACCAAGAGTCCATGTTTTACTAAGGGGCCGATCATTTAACTTTTGAGGGGGGAGGGGGGCGATTTTGAAAAAAAATTCCTGCAAGGCTATTCTGAACAAAAAAAATAATACCTGCACTAACAAACTGGGGAAAAATATCCTGCCCCAGTATTTGGTGCAGGGATCGATTTGACCAGTCCAAGAAGATCAGCTGGTTTGATTTTCAGGGACTAGTGTAAGGTTAATTTCTTGTTGGAAAACTCCTCAAAATGCTGGAAATAGCTTATCTGAGCTTCAAAAATCTGAGCTTCAAGGGGGCATGCCACCAGACCCCTCTAGAGGCTCGCACCTTCGGTGGTCGACTCAGTTTTCTCGGAGTCCTAGTTAAGCATGGCCTGAGCTGCTGCCTATGACGTATACTTAATAGTTAAACCATGCTTAGGTAGCTGCAGTGATACAGACAGGGCTGTAGCGAGGAGGGGGTATTGGGGGGGGGGTGGTGGTTAACACCCCAACTTTTTTAGAATCAGCATATTCAGAAAATCGGGTTGGCCATTCGGAAAATTATGGCAATAATAGTAGACTGAAAATTTTAGTTGTTAAACAGAGAAAATATTATAAAATTGTATTGTCACTATTTTTAAATTTCG